ACCTCCAGATTTGACAGAGAAACACTCATTTTTAACACTCGATTTTAACTACTATCATTTTACACCTCAGAGTTACATTAAAAGAATGTGACTCTGCTTAGAGTAAAATTAACTCTACTTTTGCAAGAAGACTATTAACACCAAAACATTTAACACTTTTGAATTTGCTGTGTACTGGAATTTATACTGTATACTGGAATTATACTGGAATTTATACTGTATACAATAAATATTTATACTGGAAAAGAAAATCGTGAGAGAATCGTGATCTCAATTCTAAGCCAAAAAATCGTGATTCTCATTTTATGCAAAATCGTGCAGCCCTACTATATGATACATCTATATATACACTGTCAAAGATACTTGAGTGTCTTTGAGTGAAGATTTAAGGTGACAGGAAATATAAATAAATGCAACTTGAATCTTTACTGAAGCTCAGTATTTGACACAGAGTTCAAACTCATTGCTGTAATAACTAATAATGATTAATATAATAACTATAATATTGACCATATTATAGTTACATTACCAAAGTGAGATGATTTTAGTCTCATGAACAACATTAGCTAATTGTTATTTACTAGCTAATCTTAAAATGACTGTTCAGCACAGAAATGAAGCCCAACAATTATGTTTACAGTCCTGTGGTCTCAGCCTCAGATACTTATCAAATCACACAAAGCGCTTGTAGAAACAAATGAACAAAATATATTCTCCTTCATTTCTGTCATACAAAGCTGTATGAAACGTTTCCAGCAGTTAGTATCATGGTTGCTAGGCAACCTGGGCAGCGTGACGGAGGCTAGACCGTCCCATTTCACAAGCCTACAAGCCTCGCACTTCCGGCCTTAGCGTTCTTTGAGTTCGCGGCCCTTGGGGACCGTTAAGGCTGCTTATTTTAAGGCTGCAGAACCTGAATTGGGATACAGCCGCTCTCTTCGCTCCGGTGCTGCTGTAATACCAACATGTGTGTGTATGTGTCTGTCTGTGTTTGTGAAAGTGTTTGTGTGTGTGCGCGCTCCCTTTCTTGTGGTGTTTGGGGTCTTCCTGCTGTCTGTGCTGTTCACTTAAAAAAAGGTTTAAGATGCAAATGTTAAAGAGTTCTGCACAGCTTCCAGGACATCACTGTTGTTACTGACACCGGTGGTCACTATGTGAACTTCAGGTGAGCTCACCTGTGCAGGTTTCCTTCAGTGTCTGATGGCAGCAGCCTGACTGCACAGCAGTGAGCTGTGTGGGGATAAACGAGAGAGCTCTCTAGCCTCCAATGCCACCTCCTCGGCTTCCTGAAGGGGCCCGCTCAGCAGGAGACCTGGCTCATTTCTTCTGTCTGAGATCCACCGAGCAGAGGTGTGAGCATTCTGAGGGAGCTGTGCGCTTTGATTTCACTGCAGGTTACAAGTTCAACTTAGATCAAAACATAAGAATGGTCACCAGTGTGGCCACAGTCTGGAACTTTACAGCTAATGGCTTCATTATTTATCAGTCATCAGATTACACAGATATTTTTCTAACACTGTCTCTGGGGAAAAAAGTCAAGTTTTGAATTTATTTGTCTTGTGCACAGACTGCAGCTCAGCTTAAAAAAATAAGACATGAACATAAATATGACTTGTAATTAGAAAAATTCGCACAACTGGCAATGCCCCTAACAATAAACACATTAAACAAGTGAGTTATAAAAAGCTTCCAACCATACAGCTGTTATGAAGGAGGAAATTATCTATAACGTTTGGGTATCAGACTGTAAACCCTGCTGCCTCTGCTGGACAGCAGAAGAACTGCAGTGTTCTTCAGCCATAGAGACTGATGCCTGAGCAGTTAAAAGAGCAAATACTAATAACTCTAACCTGTAAAAAGCCTCTTCAATCAATCATTACCCCATCCAGTTCTGCCAGCCATCCACTCTCATTCCCTCTGGACCAATCCATGGGTGCAGATTGTGTTGTTACTGTTAGGTTAGTGTTAGTGTTGCTAGCGAGCAGCTCGCTTCCTCTTCCAAAATCCATTCTGTAAAAATCTGAAAACATCCACCTGGATTGTTATGTTGAGGAAAACCGCAGTTTTGAGAAATTCAGCATTTTCTTGAACTAATCCTGGAACAGGAAGAAGGTATGTGAGCTAGAATGAAACCTTTCCTGTTTTTAATTTGGGCAGTCAAGACCTTCAAGACTCTTCTCATGCTCTTTTGGTAGTAATATTGGGATTTATATGAAGCCCTTTAAGAAGAAGAAGCATATTGACAGCCATTCAGAGGTGCAGAAGGTCTTGAAGGGAGATTGGCAAAAAGTGTTCTATGTTTTCTATGGGCAGGATCCCACAAAAGTTTCTTGCCTGAGAAGGAAAGAACAACAAAGACACTTTTCAACTTTAAACTTAGTGTTTTTAATGAAAACATTCTGCACTACATTACCCAACAGCCCCACACAGACTACACCTTTCTCACTTAAATGGCATGAAGAAGCTGACAGAGGAAACTCATCCCCAGTTATATGAGAAAGAAGAGTTTGGTCCCACGTTTGGTTATTTGAACCAAAAACGAAATGAGTTTAAAACAGAAATGACTCCACAGAGAGAACAAACATGCACAGCCAGGTAGGTTTTATTTTTTAAGAAGGAGATTAGAAACTGGGTCTTTTAACATTTGTTATCATTCGGATGTATGGAAAATTTATAGCTTCTAAAATTGCTCAAATGTTGATCAAATTGAAAACCCGTACTGGAAAGAATCCCACAGAATCCATCTGCAAAAGACAGGAGGAGATTTTAGAGATATAAGAAATAAAATTTATGCTTTAACAAAAAGGAAGAAAGACAGGGATGGATAACTGTAAGTGTAATAGTAACTGTAACTATAACAGTACATCTGACATGAACAGTAGAATAGTGTAAGAGTGTGTGAAGCTGCTACAAACTGAGTGTGAAACATTTCTTTTCATTCAGCACAGAATAAGGCTAAACAACATCTTTAAAAATGTTATTTAAGATGCAGTCACTGAAATTAGGACAAAATCGGCTCAAGTATATAAACGCTAACATTAGCACAGAGTCACTCACTCAGTGGATTTTATTAACAACTTCTGCAATTGTTAACCATATGACCATATAACCTGCAACCATATTGTTTTCCACTGCATGTAAGTTACTAATCTTCTCCTGTGAGCTGGAAAGCTGCAGTGTGAGTATTGTTATGAACAGTAATCGCAATAAAGAAAAGTGTACGCAGAAAAGCGCTGAGATGTGGTCGGGTCTGTTGCACATCGTTTACACTAACCTAACCCAACTCAACCAAACTCACTTCAACCCAACTCATCAATTCAACCTCGCCCAACCGCTCCCCACCTCACTGAACTCATCAACTGAACTCAACTGAACCTAACCTAACGTAACTCAACTAAACCCCAAACCATTAATACAAGGCATGTCTATACTAAGAGATTAAAATGACTTCTGTGTTGAAAGGGTCCTCTTATCCTAATTCTGAGTTATGTATTATTAATCTTGAGCCAGAGTAGCTCAAATGAACCACTATTAATTAAACATTAGGCCTTCACTTCATTCCCTGTAATGTAAACCAACATTCATTTAATTTCTGCCCCCCTTTAGCAGAAGTGGGTGAAATGAGATGACTATTCAAGGACATCATCTCTGTCTGTGGCATCAAATACAGTTCCAAGAATAGAGAAAAAAGATTAAATTAATTTAGAGCTGTGCACAGCCTCAGTGATTATTTCTACATACTCTGAGCACAATATTTGAAATTTTGGTGATGTTTAAAATGAAAAGGATATATGTGACAGACAATAAGAGAGAACAGGACAGATCTACTTTAACTGCTTTAAAACAGCCTGCAGCACTGGCATGCTGTGACAGAGCTCTGGTTTTATTTCTATGCTGTTCAAGATAGAAAAAGTCACATACCACATACCTATTTTGTTGCTATGATGCCAGGTCTCTCTTGGAAATGAGATTTTTAATCTCAGTGAGATTTTTTACCTGGATAAATAAAGGATTAATAAAAATGCTGACACTTTACCTGGGACCTACTACTAACTTTTACAGCTTTTACTCAGCTACTTAAAATGGTCTCAAATGTTAACCCGATTGCTAGGTGATTTTATACAACTGTCAGTCACAGTCGTCATTTCATCTCATCAAATCAACACCTGTGTGCAACACTAAATAATTTGTGTCTGAAAGTAAACTGAAGAACTGCAAAAGAATTTTGGCAGTAAATGTTGGCAGAGATAGCCAGAGATCTCACATTGGCTTCGGTAATAGAACCATTTTTTAAACTTGATTTTGTTAGTTTCCTTCAGTTTTTAGTACATTTTTCAGCAGCAGTAGCAGTCTGTGCTCCTGCTGAGCTCTTTGCACAAAAAAAACTTCAAAGCAGTGTAACCTGGTTCCACCAACATCCCCTGCTTCATTGCAGAGTGGGAGGGGCCACTGGTTCTGTCTGTAGAAAAATGTGAAGAAAATATGGCGCTGCAGCTGCTGACACTCTATTAGGTGAGCTGATTTCACTTCTTTCAACACCAAAGTCTTTGGTTGGACGATCTTTTGAACAGCTGGTCGGTCTATTGGTCAGTCCATCTGTTGGTTAGACCGTCTGTGGGTCAGCTTTTTGGTCTGTTGTTCGGTCTGTTGGGTGGATGGTCTGTCGGTCAGCTGGTCAGTGTGTTGGTCTGTTGGGTGGACAGTCTGTAGGTCAGCTTGTCGGTCTGTCGGGTGGACGGTCTGTGGATCAGCTGCTCCGTCCATTGGTTGGTCTGTTGGTTGTATGGTCTTTTGGTCAGCTGGTTTGTTAGTCTGTTGGTTGTATGGTCTTTTGGTTAGCTGTTTGTTCTGTCAGTCAGTCTGTTGGTGGACAGACTGTCCAACCAACAGACTGACCAACAGAACCCACCACTGTGTCTATGACACTAGAATATCGTTAGAATGTTGCCATTTTGACATGCTGTAGAATGGCTGGTTGCAGCACTCAAACAACATTCGAGAAAAGCTAAAACTAATAGCCCTAGTTATAGTAACTAAGGGGCGTGTCTTACTGAAAAGTCCCTGCTACCAGCTCTCCTGCCTCCTCTCTCTTCTGTCACTCAGTAGAGTTACTCTAAACAAGGATTCCTGCTCGTGTTCGGGACTCAAAGCAGCATCGTTCAGCCTCTTCATTCATTCCTGTCACCAAACATTTGGTGACAGGTCAAATCAGCTGTTTATCTCTGGCAGTGAAGTGATGGAACCCAAGCCAAGATGAAGCAGCATTTGATTACACAGCCATCCCAGCCAGCTGTTAGCACACTGCCTCCAGCTGTGAACCGCTGATGAACCACCTGTCAGAAGACAGTTCTCATAGTCCTTGATTTTAGGTGGCAGCTGGTAATGTCTTGGCAAGTATTGCTGAACCAATCTCAGGTCTTGGTGAGGGGATGCACATCGAGCCCATCCTGTTGAGTGACGTTGCTTTGGTCATGCCCTCACTGCCCACGGTGGATAGAGGGAAGCTCTCGTAGCTCTCTGTAGCCCGGTTGCCGCACTGGCAGCGTTGCAGTGTCAACTTCAGCTCCCTCTGGAAGTTGCTGTTGAGGAAGCCGTAAACGATGGGGTTAATGCAAGTAGAGGCCATCGCCGTCAGGTGACAGGCAGAGAAGACTGTGTCGTGCTGACAGTCTGGGAGGGCCTGGTGGTGCCAATCAAACAGAGTGTTGAAGACATTCAGTGGCAGCCAGCACAGAGCAAAGGCTATGACGATGGCTAGCAGCATTACGTTTATCCTCTGGGCTCCTCGAGTCCTCCTGCTGCGCTCCAGCATGTCCCTGCACAACACAGCATGACATCCATCATCAGACAATCCACCAGGAAATGTCACAGCAAACCTCAAGAAGCATTAACTCACAGCGTAACCACACATAGTGTCCACACAGAGCTCTAATCTGACACGATAACACGAACAGTTAAAGATGATGTGGATGAACCGAGTTATCACAGAGTGAGTGAACGGAAAGCTGTGTGACCTGCGACGTCTCAGGCGTAGAAAGATCCGGAGGTAGCAGAGGAGCACCAGCAGAAGGGGCAGGCAGTACTGGAAGATAAGCAGCGAGGTCGTGTAGGCTAGGCGATGCTTGTCTGACGGCCACAGCTCCATACAGATCAAATGATCCCTTAAACAAGACAGACATGGATAATGAAAACGGAAACACTTATTTAACTTTTAGAAGCACTGATTTAGGAAGTTGAAGATTTCATGTAACTTCTGCTAAGCAATATCCCAAAACATCTGTGCCTCGATGTAATATCCCACTGAGCACAACTTTACTGAGGCTGGTGTCCAACCTCTGGTGACAGTTCTGAACATTACTTCACTCCTGACCCAGAAGTTTACCCAATTTCGCTGTGCAAGAAACTGCACAATGACAATAAAAAGCTCTAAGTCTAAGTCTATGTCTGACCCATTTGATGGCATTTTCACCTGCTTGGCATCCAGCGCTAATCTCAGAGGTATAAATATGTAACAGAATTTTCACTTAGAGATCAGAAACTAACAGATGAAACTGCCCAGAGGTTCATGAGAGGAAGGCTCTGAAAAAGAGGCTTTTTCATTTTGTTGACTGAACCTCGTATGAACCGCTTGCTTCTCTGGAACATACATGTTTGGGAACGTACTGAGGATGTACAGGGGTTTACTGGTACTACATTAGTGGCTTTTTTTGAATTTTTACCTGCTTGCACACCAGAATCAATAAAACCAGGTCCCTTCATATCTAAATCATACTCTCTCTGACCTTAGAGCAAAGCTGTCTTTGTCTCAGTCCTGTTATCAGAGTCTGAAATCGGCAGGTCCACTCACCTTCTTGCATTAACGTTTTCAGGTTTTAGATGTGCTGATAAGCAGATACAGTGCTGTTCCCTGACTGTCTGAGCCAACAGAAATGCATCTTCAGTTTTCTTGTTAAATGAAGTAAATACAAACTCTTCAGCATCCAGATATGAACCCTGAAGTCTCAGACAGCGTCAGGCTCTGTGGATGAAACACTCTCTGCGTCTCTATCACCAGGCACCAGAGCGGAATTTAAAGAAACTCCAACAAATGCTGACATTCTTCTTCCACAAAATCAGAACTGTAAATAAACACCTCCTTCAGTGACTCTGATGGCCCTGAACCGGTTCTAAAGACTTCAGTTGGTACAGGAACCTCCGAGGATAAAAGGTCTTTCTTAAAGTGTTCATTAAGTATTTCTGACAGGCTAATGTCCAGACGGTCGGATTGAGACACATTCAGGTTCATTTATTGTGCTGCAGCAGACTTTATTCCCCTGATGAGTTCTGCTGCTGAACGTCTTAGGGCTACGCTGCTTTTAGCTAAATGCAAAACAAGCCCAAGGCGTTTTGGGCTGTGTGACAAATACCGAACATTTCCAAAGAATAAAAATAAACTCTGGGCTTTGAGAAAATCAGTTATGTGTCCTCATAGCTTAGCTCAGCTTCAGTTTAAAATGAAACAGCATCTCTGGACTGAAGCTAAGAAACACCTGTATCCCAGATCTCACCTGAAGGGGTTGGCAGGGAGGCTGATGTTCTGGAATGGGTCATTGGTGAGGATGTTGAAGGAGAGGAAAGGCAGTGAAATGAAGCAGGCAACCAGCCATGTCAGCCCCACAGCCAGATAGGAGTGTCCCGCGGCGGGGGACCAGCCAGTGGGATGGAGGATCAGCTGATGGCGCTCCAAAGCGATCAACACCAGGGAGAAGACCGACACTGTCACCGACATGCACTGAACAAAGGGCGTCACCTGGACGGGCACAAAACACAGCAGAGGACAAACTGAAGGTGTGGTTATCGAGCTCGCGGTACACTGTGAGAGCGCGGCCCCATGGTCATGACCAGCTCCACCTTCACGCTGTGACATCACACTTTTATCCATTCATCCAAATGTATTCAGTTTCCCCTGTTACATCAGCTGACAGCTTCATGATGACCTCACAGTGAGCAAATGAAGGCAAGTTTTTTTTCTCTTTTAAAATGTGAATGAACACACCTACGGGTGAGCAGGGCAGGCGGTACCTGGTCTGCAGGTAAAGTGCTGCTCGGCCTGCTGGGCACATGAAACACTGCCATGGATGGCTCTCACTTCCGTGTCAGCATTGTTCTTCATCTCTGCTCCATCAGATCTGGTGCTACTGAACTTCTAGATCTGTAATGTCAGCGGCTCTGAGTTGCTGCTGTTTGCTGTCTAATTTCAGATTTTTATTAAATGAGGTGACACAAACTTGTAATTAAAACCGATCTGTTATCTGTGAAGCCAGAGGCTGCTCAGGCTTTCAGGTGGTCGGTCACTCAGACTGAGAAGCATTACGTTCCTGTGTGGAGCAGACCACCACTTATCCCTCTGCTCCCACAGACATGCTTCCAGAGGAAGCACAAACACAGGCTTGTATCATCCTCTGGTCTCACCTGCGTACCTGACTCATCTGCATCACTAAGCAGTGGAAAGCTAACGGTCTTCATTTATCAACACAACTTTGGAGGATAAAAGGAGTATGCAATCCATGTTCAGGGTGGGCAGAGTCAGCACCTGGACTGCCCCCCGGCTTGTTTTTAATTTTACATCTGTCTGACAATGCTGGATGACTCTTATTTTGAAAGTCACTGGAAAGTGCTGGCCAGTGAGCCTGGACTGTTCCTGTCTAAGGTGCCTCAGTGATAGCTTATCAGGCCGGTGGCCCAGAGTGAGGTTCTGCCAATGTGAAGCACGTCCTGTGTTCTGAACACTCATTAATTCAGTGTTCAGCAGTGCAGTCATAAGCTAGCAGCACTTACAGTAGTTAAAATAAAAGAAACAACCATAACTTAGAAACTCCATGTCAACAAAGAATGATTATCTTAGTAAAAGTAAGCATCTAGTGCCAGAAATGAAGCGGATAATATTCAGGTATTCAAGTCCTTTACAGCTGCCTGAAGAAGAGCAGCTCCTTCAGATACTCCTGCAGCTGACTCCAGGAGGAAGGAGCTGCAGGCTCGGTGTGAAACTGTGCTCAGGCTGACAACACAGCCCTGCAGACAGCTTCTCACTGTCGTCTCTTTATTGTTTTTGAAGGAAAAGGTGATGATTGCACACTGGTGAGTGCTGTTGTCCCAGCAGCGGTGAGCGTGCATGGCACACTGACCTTGCACAGGGCCTCCCCCAGCACCCAACGATCCATCAGCGTGTAGATGACGGTGACGGGCAGACAAACGATGCACATAAGGATGTCGGAGCACGACAGGTTGGCGATCAGGATGTTGGTGACGTTGCGCAACTCCTGTTGCCGGGCAATGATGAACACCAGACCTGCGTTGCCTAGCAACCCAATGGCAATGACAGCGCTGTATGCCACGATGAGGAATGTTGCCCCGCCTACTGAGGGAGGGCACTGAGAGGTGTCTGCCCAATCGGAGGCCTCCCAGACGTGGAGGACGCCGCTGTCGTTGGACATGGCAGGAAGGGAGAGGAGGAGGAAGTAGGGAGCGGGCAACCCAGCGGTGGCGACTCAACTTCCAACAATAAAGAGGATCAGAACACAATGAGGGGCGAGGAGGAAGAGGAGGAGGAGGAGGAGGAGAACAGCACCCAGCTACGTGCTGTGAGGAGTTGGATGATGGAATCAAATATGGCGTCCTGTGTTTCTTTCCCCGGGGATCAGCTCTGCAGCAGCGTTTTCTGCAAAGAACACAAAACAGCAGCGAGTAATAAGATGGAGATGAGGAGCTCTCAGCGGACAGGCAGAGGAGGAGAAAGGTGAAGAGGAGGAGTGAATGAATACATCAGCACATGCTGCTATCTCATGCTGAGCTGCACTCCATCGTCCAGAGACACTCGTTAGCGTACACTGCCAGCGTGGGTGTAATGGCACATTATGCAGCCCAGCTCACTGGGACACACTCGGCAGAAAAACCACTCTCCAACTATCTGACTGTCAGCGTTTGCTAAAACGTTGCAGCGTGAGGGCTGCACTTCAAACAGGAAGCCTAAAAACACTCCTCACAGCCCGACAGTCGCTCCATGTGCACAAGTAGCAGAAAAAAAACAAATCCTAGCTCAGCTCTCCAACAGTCAGACCTTCCAAATCATCAGACTGTAGTTTGCTCTCACCATAACTCATGCAACGATTTAATTTAATTCAGTTTTATTTGTATGGCATCGAATCACAAGAAGAACCCTCCGGCAAAACCAGTCTCAGGGACGGGCAGCCATGTGCACTGACCGACCAATAACAGCATAACTAAGGAAAGGACTCAGGGTCACCTGATACAGCCCTAACTATATGCTTTAGTAAAAAAGAAACTTTAAAGCCTAATTTTAAAAGTAGAGATAGTGTCTGTCTCCTGAATCCAAACTAGAAGCTGGTTCTACAGTAGAGGGGATGGAAAGCTGAAGGCTCTGCCTCCCATTCTACTTTTAAATACTCTAGAAACAACAACTAACAGTCTGCGAGTGAAGTGCTCTAATGGGGTGATATAGTACTATAAGGTCTTTAAGATAAGATGGGGCCTAATTATTTATTGATTATTCTTGTATGAAAAGAGCAGGATTTTAAATTCAATTCTGGATTTAACAGGGAGCCAATGAAGGGAAGTCAGTATAGGAGAAATCTGCTCTCTCTTTCTAGTCCCTGTCAGTACTCTTGCTGCAGCATTTTGGATTAACTGAAGGATTTTCAGGGAGTTGTTTGGACATCCTGATAATAACGAATCATAGTAGTCTAGCCTAGAAGTACTAAATGCATGAACTACTTTTTCAGTGTCAATCTGAGACAGGATATTTCTAATTTCAGAGATACTGATCAGATGACAGAAAACAATGATGATCCGCTCTGTTCTGCAGCTCCACAAAGCCCCCCTCATTCCGGAGCAGCTCGAGAGCACCCCCTGTGGAGCAGGGAGTCTAGAAAGGTTCTGATGCTAACAACTATAAGCTGAGATCAGCTGCTGATACACTGTAGCCCTCTGTGGTTTTAAAGAATATCAGAGTTTAAACTGTCATGTATGATATATGTAATGTTCTTACACATGTGCACAAACTATACACACACCCACACTCAGTATCGTTTTAACGACCCGTGTTCTCACTTATCTGCGACGTGCTGACTTAACGGTTTAATTAAGATACAGCTTTTAGAGCATCAGCTGCTGCAGGCAGCGCGCGTCCTCTGATCACATGCACATCGACACCATCAGCTGTCTGCCTTGCCCACTCTTTCATTTCGCCCTCCACTGACAGCCTTCATCAGCCCTGAGGGACTGAACTGCCACCAAATGAGACACACTCACAGGTGTTTGTGCACAGCCACGCTCTGACTCACTCGCAGCAGCCACCCGCTTGTCATGGCAGCCATCACACAGCTCCATATCTGCTGCTCCCTCGCTCCTGCACAAGAACACTCAGAGATCCACACTGTTTTTAAAATATGCACACGTAAAGCTCCAACACAGGACAGCAGCTTGACAGATGTTGACGAGACAACACCAGTAACATCTGGAAACAATGTGTTTCCTCTGCTGTGCAGAAAAACATCACAAAACATGGCATGTTTACTACATCATCGCCTGACAACAAATCTTCTGTCTCCAGGCAGGTGTTCGGTCATTCTGTCTAATGGCCAGCAGGGGGCGACTCGTCTGGCTGCAAAATGTAGTTGGTCATATAGAAAAAGCCCAACAGAGACCCAAGAGCTGAAAACATCCAAAAGGTGCAACCCAGATCAATCAGTTCCTCTGACATCTGCTGGATGTCAGTTCGGCAAAGACAGTGCCCACAGGTCTCTGCGGATTTCATGCAGGAGGTTATCAGAAAACCCGACAAGGTTACTGTTAATGTTCCAACAATGAATTTTGCAATGTCTCAACTTGACTCCGCCCACTGTCTGCTCAGCTGGTATGCTACTACATGTGTCCAAAACCAGCTACAGCTGTGGTTTGACAAAAATAGAGAAAATCTTTATTTTATGTCATTTTTTTTACTTTTACTGAAGAAAATTGTGTTGTTTCATCTCCGTGTGATGTATCTGGGTGAACATTACAGCCATGTGCTGAGCCAATTATGCTAAGTTTAGCTAGTAAAATAGTTTGCTAGTGTAGCTCTTGAAATGTCTCATTTCATTTTGATGGTATAAATGTAAAATGATTTCCATTATTGATATTTTACTATATATACTTCATTTTTTGAAAAAAAAAAATCCTCAGAGGTGAAATTTAACTCAGTTGTCTCAAATATTATATTTCAGTTAAAATTCATGGTATATATATTTCTATTTCATATCATTTATAACTTGTGACTGTCTAACAGACAAATATTAATATACAGTGACCACTGGCTGAAATCTTTAGTTATATTAAAGGGCAATATCCCAAAAATTAACTACAAAGATTTGATCCTTGTACATTTCACATAAAATGGAAATCAGACTGATGCAGTAAATATTCTTTTATTGATGAGAAAACTGGGCAATATAATTTATTTAAGATGTTGAAGATATCAGAGCATTAAAGAGGCCGATATTTGGGTAAAAGAGTCTCAAGGAATAAAGATGACACAGAAACAACATCGTTATAAAATATTGTATTTTACATACATACTTTATGAATGTACAGCTTTTCACAGCATACTTTTCCCACTGAAACCAGTACAATCCCATTGTGATGAAAACAATATTTTGACTAAATACATTCTGGATAAATCAGATCATTATCAAAGTTGTCTATGGTTACTTTTATTTTCTCTTCTTTCCCTGTCAGATCCTGTCCTGCAGGATAAACATCAGTCAGTGGTTCCCTATATGCAGCTGTTATAGTTTGTGTTGCAAATACACGAAGCAAATATCTGAAAACTGTTTTAAATATTTTCAGCCATCCTTCATGTACAGAGAACAGCTGCCTGTTCTCCCCCTGTTCTCCTCTTCATCTCTCAGCTGCTGCTGGCTCCTTTTTCTCCTCCTCTTCCTCACACACTGCTGAACCTGTGCTGGTGTTTCATCAGGGATGAAGAGCCTCTGTCCCTTCTCAGTCTCTCCTTACTCTGGACGCTTGCAGAAGAAAATCAGCCATGGCAGTTAACAACAAAAGCAGGAGAAGTTTATCAAATATCTGTTAACTTGCAAGATGAAAACAAAGTTTTCTAATAGAATCACATGGACATATTTTATGTATTTAAATCACACAATCATTTAAAATCCTTCATGCACCAATGCATGAAGGAGTGTTTCCACAGGTCCTTCCTCCCTGCAGCTGTCAGACTGTACAATCAGAACTGCTCCCAACAATCATAGATGTTTACATCTGCGCTGTAACTGCAATAATTTAATCAACCGATTCGCACTACAACCTGGGTTTGCTTCTTATCTGTAGTTAATTTTATTTAATTTAATAACTGTACACTACTCCGTTTATAGTAACCATTGTCCTTGATGTAAATATGTAAGAAAGAAAATTGTGTATGTTTCTGTTCTGTGTCCTGTTTGTTTGTATATGTGTCTTTCTGGCTGCTGTTACAATCAAATTTCCCTGTGTGGGACAATTAAAGAGAAATTTAAGAGGGAAAAAAAGAGAAAGGAGAAACAGGACATATGATCCTGCAGAAATGTTGGGCTTTATAACAAAAGTGACATGCTCAAATTGTATGATATAAGCATGACAAACAGCACAGACACAGGAGGAGGACTTCTCCATTTATTGCCTGTCTTATTTATTAGTGGTTTATACAGGATGAGAGCTCATTTAACCATAAACTTCAGCACAGCATGGTTGAGTCTGCTTCCTTACCACAGCTCACGGGGCCAGACTTTTGGTTGGTTTGTCCTAAAACAACCGAATGTTAGCTACATTGAATTTTTTAAGACTTTTCATTATGCTAAATTTGTTCCGCTGGATATTTTTAATGAGATAAAAAATTTTTTTTTAAAAACAGTACTTACTTTTAAAAGTTTGTTTCTGGATTGCTTCACTTCAACCACCTGCCGTTTTTCTCAAAAGATTTTCTTCAACCCTTATTTGCAATGAATCCTGGGATATGGTGGGCCACGAACGATACACCCGGCCCATGCTTCAAATCTGGGGAAAAGGAGGACGCATTTCTGGGCCACATTTGGAGCAACCTTCGAATTTGGACACCATGTAATCGGCCTACAAATGTGACCTCCGAAGGATGTGGCCCCTGAATTTCGACACAGCCTAAGACTGGGGTGGCCAACTCCAGGCCTCGAGAGCCGGTGTCCTGCAGGTTTTAGATATCACCCTGGGTCAATACACCTGAATCAAATGATTAGTTCATTACCAGGCCTCTGGAGAACTTCAAGACATGTTGAGGAGGTAATTTAGCCATTTAAATCAGCTGTGTTGGATCAAGGACCCATCTAAAACCTGCAGGACACCAGCTCTTGAGGCCCGGAGTTGGCCACCCCGGGCCTAAGGCTTCAGGTCACAGAGTCCAGAATCCAGTGGCATTGTGGTGGCTGCATCCATGTTTCCCCACACAGTCTGTCATGGATGTGAAAAAATGGCCACCTCTCTCTGAGCCTGGTTCTGTCTGACTTTTCTTCCTGTTAAAAGGGAGGGTTTTTTAGATGTGGGTGGGGAGAATCATGTGACTGCTGGAGTTTCTCTGTATTATTGTAGTATCTTTACCTCACAGTATTAATATTGTGATTTATATAAATATATATAAATGTAAATGAACTAAGTATAAATGAAACTGAATTGAAGTTAATTGCAGAACAGCTTGCTGGACTCTGTTTTCACAGTAAGAGTCCAGCAGTTTTTCAGTGCAAAAGCAGAGCTGGCTCCAACTCTGAAAGGAAAAAGGGATTCAAAATAAAAGACTGCATCTTTCAGCTCTGGTTCAAATTTCCTACAGCAACTGAAATTAGATTTTTCAGGCTTTATGATAAATTTCTGCCTCATTTCTACCCATAAATGA